GACCAACCTCATCCCGCCCCCTTGACCTGTCCGTCCTCCCTGGACTGACCTATCCCCTTCCTAACTCCCTACCTACACTCACCTTTCCTGGCTCCATCCCCGCCTCTTCGACCTGTTTGTTTCCTCTCCACCTATCCTCTCCTCTATCCCTCTTCTATCCGCCTCCCACTCTCTCCCTATTTATTTCAAAACCCCCTTCCCCTCCCCCTTTTCTGATGAAGGGTCTAGGCCCGAAACGTCAGCCTCTCTGCTCCTATGATGCTGCTTGGCCTGCTGTGTTCATCCAGCCCTGCACCTTGTTGTCTCGGATTCTCCAGCATCTGCAGTTCCTACTATCTCTAGCCAGGAGAGTTCATTCCCCTCCTTTGGAGATGACTCACTGTATTAAGAGTTTCTCTGACTGCGCAGCAGCAGGCATTCCACAAACTCAGAGGCCAGGAGTGAAAGGGCAACCCTGAATGCTGTTGGTCAATCAGAAGCCAGCAACGTGAGGTGCTGTGCAGCACTAGCAGGAGTGGTAGCTGTTGTTGGTAATGCGCCCTCAGAGACAGAGATTCACCAAGAGGAGACAACAAGGTGCAGAGCTGGATGAACACAGCAGGCCAAGCAGCATCATACGAGCAGAAAGGCTGACGTTTCGGGCCTAGACCCTTCACCAAGAGGTCCTGACCGTAAGTGAGGTATTGTAGGATGGGCATCGTGGATTGGGAGTTACGAAAACAGGAGTACCAGCTAGGACATGGGATGGTTCTCAACAGGCCACCCCTACTCCAATGCCACACCCCTCTGACAAGGATGGAACCCCTAAATGGCCTTCCCACAGCGTAACCCCCCACCTATTGTTGGTTGAATCTCAGTGGTGATGGGATGAAGCCTTTAACTGAGGACCACAAGTGCATTTACACAATCCTGACAACTTTCTGGTAGTTAACAGGAGTTATAGTGGAGGTTAAATTACAAATGGAATGATAGTGCAAGACAAAAAGAATGATGTAATATGACTTGTAAAAGAAACAAAACATGTGTCTAGGGTAGGTGTATTTGTAAAAAGATTACCAACAGCTTTCATCCAAAAACAAAAAGAAAAACAATGGCAGCAGAGATTGTAATCTGAAATTGTTGAATTCAATGTTGAGTCCAGAAGGCCGTGAAATACACAGTCCAAAGATGACAAGTTGTTCCTTGAGCTTGCATTCCGCATTCTTGGAACAGTTTGAGAGACTGAGATTGAAAGGTCAGATTGGGAGCAGAACAATGAATTAAAATCATAGAAACTGGAAGCGACGGGTCGTGTGTGAAGACTGAGCAGAGGTGTTCAGTAAACAGGTCAGCTAATCTATATTTGATCTCTCCATTATAGAAGACCCCACATTGTGAGCTGGAACAAGAAATGCAGTAACTTCAAAGAAGTGGAAGTAATTTACTGTTTCACCACCCAGCCACAAATACTTCTTCCAAGTGCCAAGTTGTCCTGTTCCTATATTGCACAATTACACAAAAATGAGACACTTTGGAATGATGAATGAAAAAGCAGAATTTTTTTTTTTTAAAAAAGAAGTGAAAGATCAGTAAATGTTTGTATCTAGAGGGTTATGTATGTTCCTGCACATGTCACAGTAAGTTAAATGCAAGTACATCAAGCCATTAGGAAACCAAATAATATCTTAGCTGTTATCACAAGAGGCTTGGTGTATAACCATAAGGCACTATTCTCACTTTTGACCTTAAAATGGAAAGAAGGTTGTTGATGAAGTGAGTGAAGATGTTTAGTTCAAGGACTACTAGGAGGAACTCTTGGGACAAAATGATTGATCTCCAATAATTTTCCTTTGAATGAGTCAAATGAGTTCTATGTTCTCTGGATTTTAGAAGGATAAGAAGCGATCTCATTGACTGATAGAAAATTGTTTGAGAACTTCACAGGATTGATGCTGAAAGTTTATTTCCCTTTACTTGAGGAGTCTAGGAGAAAAAGATGTAATGACCTGGATTTTAACTTCTGCGACAGAGTTAAGTCCACCAGTACTGGACACAGGCCAGTGTGGTTGCAACAGCTGCCAAGAATCAAAGTAGGCTACTTAAAAGACCTGGCTGAATTCTCTAGGGCATCAGCCTAGTTGTTTTCTTGAACATTAACTCTCTAGCCATCACCCCTCATTCGCACCCACTTCACTTGCCCATACATGACACCTCATGCAAACTCATTTTTCTCACCATGCCCCTGCCCCCACCCAATACCCTGAAACCCTTCATGCTGCCCCATGCTGCCAGCCAATACCCCAATGGGCCCTCATGTCCACATGCTAATCCATGACCTGCACCCATGGCCCCTTCAAGCCCCTGTGACAACTTAATGCTAAATTATAACTACTCCCACCCCATTCCCACACACCCTCCCACCTACATAGCACCGCTTATCTGTCACCCTCAATGCTCCAACCCTCCTCCATGGCCCCTTAGGTCAACTTAGTGTCAATTCATCAACCCAACACGACCCTTTGCCCTACACTCAATGCCAACTTACACAATATTCACCATAGTCAGGCCAGGCTTCAGGTGTCACGCTGAGATGCAATAAACTCAAGTTCAAAACTCCAATTTGTGAAAGCCCTTTCAATAAATTTGCTCCAAGTTGTTATTTCTTTTAAAGAAATCAATATATTCAAAACTCCATATCAAAGGCAACCAATCCCTTAATAACCTCTTTGAACTGTCAATCAAACTGTGAATTCACTACCTCCCAGTGTAATAATTGTAGATTCTGAAAAGGACGAAAACATTTGTAATGCTACAATAGCATTTAGGGTTATGCCAACAAATATCTTCTGAAGCTGCAAGAACAGATTTCTTTTCCCCCCACCACAGGCACAGATGGTCAATGTGTTTCAGTTTTTTAAGAGGACTGTCAATTGAAATAACATCACAGTTTCATAGCTTTGCAGACTTTGTCCACCCTTCTAAAGTATTAGTGACCTTTCTAAGGATTTAAAAATCACACTGGGATCAGGCTATTGCTCCAGCAAAACTGATCTCAGCTTGAACACATCAGAGTTCAGATGGCCTTGTTGAGTTTAGATTTTCCACATCTGGGAGTTAAATTGTATGCCATGATGTTACCCCACCCGCAAAACCTGTCTAAGTTCGGTTCTGTTCTTAATGGGGACAGGGCTTCTGGATCTGAATACTGACCATTGTCCTTGATTTTTCAAACATCTGGGCCAGTGTCAAGATAAGGTATTAGTCATTTAAGACAAAGTTCATAAAATCTGTGGAATTCTTTACTGTGAAGCACTGCAGAGACTGGATTGTTAAGTATATTTAAGACTGAGATAGACAGATTTTTTAATGAGTATCAAGGGTTGTGGAGAACAGGCAGAAAAGTGAAGTTAAGGATTATCAGACGAGCCATGATCTCATTGAATGGCAAAGCAGACTGAATGAGCTGAATGGCATATTCAGTTCCTACATCTTATGGTGAATATCAGATGTTAGACCAACCAGCCTACAGCATTGTGTTTTCTGCCCCCTGCTTTCTTGAAAAGAGGTGTTATATTTGAAGATTTTTCATTCCACTGGGACCTTTCTAGAATCTAGGGAATTTTGGAAGATTGCAACCAATGTATCCACTGTCTCTGCTACGAGTTTCTTTAAGAACCTTTTTTGTAGATTATCAGATCCAGTAGACCTCTCAATCATCAGACCCATCAGTTTTGTAATTTTTTTTCCCTCTAGTTGTCATAACTGTTTTTGGGTTTCTCCATTAATTTTTCACATCCAGGGTTTGTGAATCTTTGCAACTCTCCAGGATGGAGGGTTGTGAATGCTCAGCCATTGCGAATATGGATTTTCCAATGATGCATACATCCCATGAAGGAATAAAAAAATAGTTCAAGACTGAGATCACTAGATTCTTAGCACTAAGGTATATGGAGATGGGATGTAGAAGTTGAGGCACAATAATACCGAATGGCAGAACTGGCTTAAGGGGACATATAGACTACTCCTATCCCTATTATTGTTCAGCTTTTACATTTACTCAACCCAATGGTTCATGCAGTGGTCAATTGATCTTGGCTGTAAAATATAGCTGAACTGGAATCTCAGTTTTTCTTTCAAACAAATGTCATCTTAATAACGGCACCACATTCTTTGATATTGAGACATTTTAAAATCAATATTTCAAACACAAATAGTATTTTCATATCAAAAGCAAATTGTACATACACAGCTTTTCTTTTTCAAGCTTCATATTGATTTCTTTCAGCTTTCTTTGTATGGTATTGTCGTACAACATATCCATCCCTGACTAATCAATGAACAACAATAGGAGTTCTTCATACTTGAGGTTGTGATGTGGATCTTCCTTCAGTGTGGACTGATTGTTGTTGTGTTTTAAGCGTACTTATTGTGTTGGGTATCTTCTTCCAGAAATGCTGACAAGGGTGTTGAAGTTTCTTTCCTTGGAACACGTACAGGCCTAAGCCGTGTCAATCTGTTTGTTGGACAAGAACAACGTACTAATCAGTAAGCTTCATTGTCAATTAATGATGTTTTATTTAATAGAGCACATACATCATCTTATTCTGTTGCATTTCATAAATTATATACATCAAAATGCTTCAGTATGTAAAATTTCCTAATATTCTATTTCTACAAATCTATGTCATATGTAGTTTTTATATTAGTGTAAAGTTTTGTAAAGCATTATAATGATTGTTTTATAGTATTTTTCTGTAACATTTTGCAATCAGTGGAAGAAGGTATTTGTTACAAAGCTGCAAATTAGAACTATGAAAATCCTGGATATGGATTCTCAAATCATCAGTGAATGTTTTTCATTGCAATTTCTGAACATAATTGCACAAGTTTTACCTGACCTTCTTCTAAACATTGTGAAATAACTCGACAGAGGCTGGTACCCCATCACAAAGTCATCCTTTATTTACACATTCACAGTACTTGGACTCTGACCAGCCAGCTCAGAGTCAGTCCCTAGAGTAGTGACTATTTTGGAGACTCCTGTGTATCTCTGTCAGCAAGGGCTCCCTGATTGGCTGAGGTTAACAACCCCAATCAGGGATCTCATACCCAATGAGATTCACCTGGCCCCCTTTCCAATCACTACACATTTCTCTTTAAAATTTCTCTGATATATGTCAGCTAAATGATTGTGTTATTAGTAATGCAAGGCTTTTAAAATAACATTATTACAGGTTTAGCTTACTAAAAATGTTGTGAACATGTTGATAATGGCCAGAATTTGTTGGAAGGGAGCCATCTTGCCTTTCAGCTCCAATTATTTTTATGCCATAAATTATACAAATTAATAATGGCACAACAGAGCAATGGAGTATCTGGGAAGTTGGTGAATGACAAGTGACAATTTATTTCTTTAGTCAATTTAATTAAAGGAAAAAGTATCAAGTAGAGGAATATCAGAAAAGGATGTAGGAGCAATTCAAGTCAGATTAGGTCCAGAAAAGAGAAATAAAGAGTGGGAAAGAAAGATTGGATGGAGAACAACATGGAAACAAGGGGAACAGGAAAAGTAAGAAAATCGTAAAAGCAAATAATAGTTAAAATATCAAGAATAATTTATTACTTGAAGGAACAAAACTCCACAGTTTAAATTATGCCTTTACTGGACTGGAGAAATTGAATGACATTATAGAAGCATAAATTCCTTCATTAAACCTGCCAGGAAATTTACACATTTATTATGATGCGCACATTATACTCACTGCCAATTTTACAGCAATTTCAACCCCCTGTATTTTCAATATTCATTGAAAGAAGACTAATTGTGGTGTTGTATTGTGGCCTGCAGATGCAAATTTCCTCCTTTTATCATGTAACTGGTACAAAAGATCAAAGACTTAAGTGTAAATTGCATTCATGTGTTTTTAAAAATCATAAAACTAAAAGAAGGCTACACCCGCAAAACTACCCACACTTCCAGGGTAAATTAATCGCCATTGAGATTTTTCACTAGTGGCACTTGTTTGCGGGCCTTTGAAGAGGCTCCAAAAATTAAGCTGGAACTTTCAAGTGCCACAAGGTATGAATTGGTAATTTCAAAAGTTTTTGATTTTGTTTTACAATGGAGAGGGGGTTAGTTTAGCTCAGTTGGCTGGATGGCTAATTTGTGATACAGAGTAACGCAAACAGCATGGGTTTAATTCCTGCACAGCCTGAGGTTACTATGAAGGATTCTCCTTCTCAACTTCTCCCTTCACCTAAGGTATGATGACCCTCAGGTTAAACCACCACCAGTCATCTTTCTCTAATGGAAGAGCAGCGCTATGCTTTGGTAAGATTATGGCAACTTTATCTTTACTATGGAGCAGAGCATCGTGGCTCAACCGAATGGGAAAATAGTTCTTAAAGTCACTTTCAGTAATTTGATTATTTACAGGTGCTGAGTTGACACATTCAAAATGCTTTTTTATGCAATAGATTTTTTTTTAGCTATATTGAACAAATAAATCAGAAAACATTTTCAGTAGACACTTTTTTTACAAAATGTTTAAAAATGCTGTCCAACTGTGATGGTTCACTGTGTGTATGTTGTTTCTGCAAATGAGTTTGAACAGAAACATGGGGGAAAGAAAGCACTTTTCAAATGGGCTCAATTCAGCAGAATGAGAAATTCTACCCCACGTTATTTACAACAAGCTATATCAGTTTTGGTCAGCTGAGGTTAAAATGCTTTCACTGTTTACCTGAACTCTAATATAAGATGAAGTGTTTTTGTTTATGCCAAGAGATCTTTTGGAATTGGTGCGGATGTTAAGGATGGGAGTGATGTTTGAAAGCTTTAGCTCTTGTACTTTTGCAGAGAAGGCCTCCAAAATCTTTAAAATCTGACAGGAGTTAAAAATGTTGCTTCCTGGCCCACCATGAATTCTTTCTGTGCATTTAGATACTGCTGGGAACCTCAGGTACCCCCTGTTCCCAGACGAGCTTTGGAGATCCTATCTCATAGACATCAATACGTAAAGGCTGAAATCTCTTCAATCATGACATGAGCTCTATTTAGATGAGTAGTAACAAAACCATTTGATATTGGTAGAGGAAATTGCAAAATGCATCAGGCACTGAGCCACATTTGCTTTCACCTTTACATTTTGTGATAGAAAAGACAAAAGCAATTTTATTGATGGTCACAAATACAGTGGTGTTTGCTGTTTCATATTACAAGGTTACTGCCAGCATGCGCAGTGCTGTTAACACCTATGTTGTTATTTAAATGAGTTCAGATATGTAAAGCACATTCTGAACTAAAGCGGGCAAGGTCATTGCTTCATGTTGTCCGAGCATCAGCTGTATTGCTTTATGATACAGGGTTGGAACTAAGGGCAAACACAGCCGTTGCAATATGTATTATCCAGCTGAAAACCAGTGACTACATGGTAATGATGTTATTTCTCCTGCCTTTAGCCCCAAACATACAGTGCATCCACCTAAAAAAAAAATAACATTCCCAAATAAAAGATCAACAGCTAAGGCAAATGGTGGGGAAAAAAAATCACCAGAAAAACTAAATTGGATAGCCTCAAAATGGGTGAGGGATTGTAATGTGGAATTAATTTGCACCATGGCTTGCAGGTCAGGCCCCATGCCAGTATTATGCTACTTGCTAACTAAAATGATGACAGTGTTTGTAGAGAGCCCTAGCTGTGCTGTTGAGTGGCTCATCCTTTAGCAAGATGTTAGTCTGTAAACCTTAAAGGAGAGATTGTGACTGGAGTAGGTGACATAAGACGTGTTCAGCACCATTTGTCATTGTTCAAATACTGATGCAGTCTGTATCCAAAGCAATGAAACCTGTACAGTATTTAAACTTGAGTTGATTGGTGGCAATTAACATTCATACCACACATGAGCCAGCCATAACCATTCCCAACAAGAGATAGTTCACTAATTGTCCCCTGACATTCGCTTGTATTGCTGTCGCTGAATTTCCCACTAAACAAACATCCTGGGGGTTACCATTGACCAGAAAATAAATTAAATCAGCCATGCAAGTACTGTGGCTGCAAGAGTAGCTCAGAGGTTGGAAGTTCTACATTTAGTAATTCACTTCTGGTTTCTTCAATCTGTCCACCATCTACATGGCACATTTCAGGTATGTGATGGAATTCACCTACTTGCTTGAATGGGCACAGCTCCAACAATACTCCGGAAGCTTAAAACCATCAAAAATGAAACAGCCTTCTTGATTGGTATCTCATAACATCTTCAACATTCACTTCCTCCACCGCCAATGCACCATGACAGCAATGTGTAGCATTGACAAGATTCACAGCAAAATCTCACCAGCTCCTTAAACAGCATCTTCCAGACCAGTGACTTCTACAACCTAGAAGAACAATGGTAGTAGATACATAGCAATACCACCACCTACATGATCCCCTCCAAACCACACACCATCTTGATTTGGAACTAAATTGCCACTCATTCACTATGTTATAAAGTTGCATGACGGGCTTTGTTTTTGAAGAATTGTGGAGAAAGGAACATATTTAGGTTTTGTGAATATGCCTGGAGTACTTTGTTTCATAAAGGTCATTGAAAGTTCACTGTGGACATGACTGGTGATAATTTTTCTCACAACCCTGCTGAGGCTGTTTTGAATAGTGATTAGAGAGATTCTTGTTTTATTTGGTTCAGATAAAAGAAAAGCCTGCTAAGGAGAGTTGGAGGAAGCTTGCTATAAGCAAGCAGTTGACCTCACCAATTTCTGAAAAGAAAATCTTCCAAATCAGTTCAGGAACCTATCTGTTCTTTTGAAGGAGTATTTGAAAAGATTTCTCCGGCTTATATCTCTCTGCAAGACTTCAGCAACAACTGTGTATGATTCCTGATGATGACACATTTCAGAAGCTCAGCACAACAAATTCTAGAGCTTACTACACATTATCCTTTTGTTTTCAAGAATAATCCATTGCTCAAAAGAGGTTTCTTTCTCCAGAAAGCTGTTTTTCCTTCTTTTCCTGAAGAGCGCATGTGCATGTGTTTTAGGGACATTTGTAGTGCTAATCATTTATACTTTTATTTCATTGGCTGTGTATGTCAACCAATTAATTATATCTATATTGAATAAGTTTTGTTAATAAGTAAGCCTAATTGTATCTATTAAGAAAAATAGATTATGGATTTTTTTGTATAAAACCTGATATAAATAAATAAGGGACTTAATTGGTTATCTTGCTAGCTAGAAAAATGTATTTTCATATTCTGTTATGAAACAGTGGAGTAATGAGACTAGAATGACAGTGCATTACTCCAACATTGGTCTTATCAACTGTAACTGGATCAAAATCCTGGAACCCCCTTTCTCACAGCACTGTAGGTTTACCTACACACTATGTACTGGAGCAGATCAAGAAGGCAGCTCATCACCAATTAGGATTGGGCAATAAATTCTGACCTAGCCGATAATGCCCACATCCAATGAATGAATAATAAAAAGATTCTACATCTGATTCTGACCTGTGAAAGAGATACAATATTTGCCAACA